TTGCCAATGGTACAGCTGGCGGTAAGCGAGTCACCGTTGCAGAAGGTGGTGACATCGGGATCCCCCAGTACCCAGTAGAGGTGAGATTGCCTGAAATTGATACTGTGTGATTTTATTTTTTACATGAACTGTACTAGGTGTGGAAGCCAATTTTATGTTTGCGTCTTCGCGTGTTTAATCTTCTCGGTAATGATGTTAGGTGGCAAAATGTACTAGTGATGCTAACATTAGGCACTTTTTGGAAGTACTTTTATAAAAACAGCAAAGCAGATATATTTTTTTTATTGTGAGTTCTCTGCGTGTTCATAAAAGGTGAATGCATTACGAGCTGTTTGTGTCTGTCCAGTTGATTCTACACAAGAACCGCTAGACAGATTGCGATGAAATTTAGTATGGAGGTTGTGCCATTTGGCACAATCTCAGATTTTGTGCTTTTTAATGTCTTCGATAACAGATTGATGGGTGGATATTGAAGTGCTGCTGTCTGGTGGTCAGAGTGGGAACTGTGGAAGTCTGAATTTTTTGTTTACAGTAACTGTTGTTATACGTACTTTGAATATTTACCGTGGCTACTATTTTAATCGTAACTTCTATTTATGTAAGTGATAATCAGCCAAGTATTCCTGAATGTTAAGATTGGGTTAGGTTTGTTTACTTTTGGCTTTGGATGGTTTAAATATGAATTTTTAAAACTGAAATTTTTAATTATGGATTTTGTAATTTTACAAGTGTTGAAGTTTAAAAAATTTTCAATGTTTAGAAATTTTAAAACTTTTACAAACTTTGTAATTTGAGGAATTTTATGGCTTAAAAATGTTGAAAATTGAGTAATTATTGAAAGTTTGAGAATGTTTATTTCAGCCTGGTTTAGTTGAGGTTAGGTTAGGTTAATTTATTTTGGAATAATAGTGAGCTAGTCTCGTCTTTGGAGATCTTGTTAATTATCAATCTTGATTATCAGTAAAAAAAAAAGGATTGATTACACTTGTCTTAGTAACATTGTACAATATGTTGCTAAGGTGATTTTGCTGTTTCAGAAACAGCAACTGGGTTGTGTATTGGAAGAGGATCCTCAGGACAAGCAGTTCCCAGAAGAAATGATGGCACCGGAAGAAGATCCAATGTTGAAACAGTTCCAGCGGTCCATGTCCCTGCCAAGGGGGTTTGGCAAGCGAGAAAGATTGGGTTACCAACAGCAGCAAGTAGTGCCTCCATTTCCACCTCTTCGTGTACCGTCTCCTCGCAGCGACAGCGTCACTGTCCTCAGAAACCTCATGATAAGCCGTCATCGAGTGCGGGTGAGTACTTCTCGTCCAGTGGCAGCAAATTGCTCGTTTTATTATTTGTGCACAATTTTATTTATATTATGTATCTGAAGGCACTATAACATTACCAATTAAGATTTTGTTACCATGGTAATATCGGAATAAAAGAATTTTGGCATGAAGGTGGCTGTCTTGTGGGTCGTTGCCATGTGCAGACTGGTAGAAGTTTACCAACGTTTCAGAGGTCTCTGCTGCCTTCATCATCAAGGTGATGAGAGATGATGGAGACAACAAGGAACTCTGGCACGTTGGTAAACTTCTACCACTACGAACCAGAAGACAGCTACCTTTGGACTCACTGTCGTTAAAACCTCAAATCCTACTACATTTTGGCATGTTTTTCTTTCACAAAAATGTTGGCATTGAAAGGATTTAAAAGGAGAAATAGTTTATTCTCTTTAACACCCCATCCATTATAAAGGTAGTGGATTAAAAATTTTGTTAATTTGTTATTGTTATAAATCTATTGTCATGGTATTATATTTTAGTATGGAGAGATTTTTATGCATCTTTGGCTGGCCCTTATGTTATGTGCAGTGACGGCATCTATTGCCACTTTCCTTTCCTTGTCGTAATGCCTCGCACAAGAAACAAGTATCAAAGAGAACCACAAAATCCACTACAAAATGATCCAGCAGTCACACTTAACTAATTAACTAACTAACTAGATGGCTTACGGAACCCGAAGTTTCATCACCGAACTAACCAAAGCCCTCCACCAGACCCTGTCCTGGGCCAACAAAATCCAGTCTCCTTCAACTCCTATCTCCCATAGATCCCGCCTGAGATTATCCTCCCATCTACGTCTAGGTCTCCCCAGAGGTCTCT